CAAGTCAAATCACTTTTTTTTTTCTCACCAAATCCCTTTCTCAATCTCTCTCTCTGTTACATAGATCACTCATAATTTCAAATCATCTTAATTCAGTTATAGCATTTGAAGTTACTAGAAGCTAGATCTCAGGCTGGACAGGACTGCACTGTTTCTAGTTCACACTCCTAGGGTTTGAGCTTCCAATGCCCTAACTCAGAGCAGGGCAGTTTATCACGGCTCCCTCTCTGCACTCCAGATTTTGGCCCCTAGACTAGCGAGGGTATCAGAATCTCTGCTCAGCTTCTCAGCTCCTCTGCCACACTGGGAGTCAACAGAGAGCCTTAGGGAAAAGTGGCCCAAATGTCCCATGTTCCCTTTTGGGCTTCCTTCTTCCAAAACGAGGCCTCCCCATTTGTCACAGCTTGTTAGGTCCCAGATGCCTTTAAAGAAGATTGTTTTTGATATATATATATATTTTGTATGGAATTTCTGGTTTATACTCAGCAGAGGGTTGTCCCACATTATTTAATTTCGAATACCATAAACCTTTCCATTTATTTTGGCCAAATGCCTAGGAGCACCTAGTATGGAACTATTTTCAACTAAGTGAAACTAGCTGGGTATTTTCTGAATATCTGGGCTGCAGTTTTGTGAAGGGTCCTGTCTCCCCTCCCCTGTCAACTTTTCTGTTCACTGCAGGGTGGTTTCCTGCTGGCTGTGGGGTGAGGGGTTCTGGTTCACGGTCCCCTGAGGATACATATTTTTTAGGATACCAGATTCATGTAGGGGTCTCCCATTACATGCCCTACCTGCTGTTTCCACAAGATCAGCCAGATGTCTTCAAGGCAAAAGTAGCCTCTTGTGCTCAGTTTCTGCCTCCTGATTTTTAGATTACAGTAGCCCACTTGGTCACTGTCTTCACATCTCCTACATGTTTTCGAATGATGGACCTTTTCTCTTTTAACGTCTTATTCATCATTCTAGTTGTTTTCAGTGGATAGCCTTGTCACATAAAGTAAGGCGTGTCTGTGCCACTCTGCACTTGTACCTCCTTACGTATAAAATGGGCAGGATAAGTGTACTCCCACTTGCTCAGAGAATCCATTGAAATTATTGTGCTTTGAAAGCTGTGAGGCTCCAAACAAGCGTTATTGTCATTGTCTTCCCACTCGTCCGTCCACGCTCGATATGCTCTGTAGATGCCTCTTCTTCTGCCAGCCTCTTAAATGCTGGTGATCCCCAGCTGTCCACTCTCAACCCCTTGTTTTTCTTAATCGTTATAATCTTTCTTGGAGGTTCCATCCTTTCCCCAGTTTTAGTTACTTCTCTGGTTCACTTCTGCCATCTGAGCTAAAAGCACATATATCCCATTTATCCTACCAAACTCATCACGCATGTGCCAATGCCAAGATCTGCTCCTCCTGGATCCCCGGCCTTGGCAATGGGCACAGCTCTCCACCCGCTGTGCAGTCATCCAGAATAGAAACGGGGGCATCAGCTGGAATCTTCCCTTTCTCGCTTCACATACCCATTCAGTCCCAGATGCTGTGAATTGTACTTCCTAAAGCTTCCTCAAGCTTGACCATCTCTGTCATCTTGTTTAGTGTCAGTCTGGTTTCTCACCTTGTAGCCCTTCCTCCTTACCATCAGCCAGAGTGCAGTTTCTCAAATGCCATCTGATTCTGTCACCACCCTGAGTAAAGTCCTGTGGCAGCTCTCCAGTGTTCTAAAGAGAGACTTCATTAACATTGATCACAAGGCTTTTTGTGACCTGTCTTGGCCTGCTTCGCCCTCCTCTTTTCACTGTTTTCCATTTCATGAAACACCTCACCTATTCTGAACTATTTGCCTCTCTATTCCTGGATAGATCGAGCTATTATCTCCATCTGCGTGAGTTATAGGAATTGTAAATTCGACCCACTCCATCTTTAGGCTGCCCCATTACTCGTTTTGACTGGCATCTGATACTTCGGCTCTCCCACTGGGCCTGTTCCCTCTGCCCCTTGGACCACAAGGGCTGGCTCTCTGAGGCTTGACCAGCACAGAGCAGAGGGGGAGTGTACCTCTTTTTTCTAATCACTGTATTCCTAATACTACCACCTAAAAGAGTACTAGCTTTTCGGCAGCCACTTCATAAGTCCTCTTTTACATAAGCAAGCTGTTAAGCCATGTCTCCCCATCCTGTGTTTGCATGGTGGGTTTTCTGTATCTTATCACAAGAGCTGATCTGACATTTCACCAGACATTAGAGCTGTTAAATTCCATCTTGTTTGCCTCAGCCCTTGGTTCAGTCTGTTGGGCAATATTTTTAGCCCAATCCAAAGTCTTACAATATGAAGTGGAAGAAATCTTCTTTTATTGTGTAGAGGAACTGACTGGGCCCAGAGATGCTTGACCCCAGCTGGAAGTCACACAGCAATCACAGCCCCAGTGGTGGCACCAGAGCCCAGAGCGCCTCATCCCCATTCCGATGCTTCTCATCTGACAGGCGAACTCCCACTCCCGCATCCAGCCTTGCGTCATGCTGTTGGCTTCTAAAATAATTAAATTCATCAGATTTAAAATGCATTAATTCCTTTTGCCAGTAGAAGGTATAATAAAAATAGCACCACTCTGAACAGCTGGACACCTCAGCCTCTCCACCACGAACAGACTCCTGCCACTTCAAAGAACTTTTCTCCCACGCCTGCCACAGAAAGGGCTCAGTGGGAGAGCCTGACACTTTCCTCAGGGGCCTGGCATCTTGTCCCTCTCACCCGTCTAGTGACTGCCCCCTTATTTTAAGCATCTATTTTAGAGACAAAATGAAGCTTTTCTATTGTATAATTAGGGTGAAACTTTTAGAAGGTAAAGCACTGTAATGTGTCACAAGACAGAGCCAGCTTCTCCGATATGAGGTGTAAGAGGAATTTTTTGAAGACTGATTTCTTAGCTGTGTCATATTTCACTGGAGTAAAATAAAGATTGGCTGATGAATTATAGATCAACAGAGCTGCTGTGCATACTTTGGTACTGCTCACAGGTAGAAATGAAAAATCCAGTGTGTGAAAGCTGGTCCTTTCAGGAAGAGGAGAAGGGTCATCTGTGATCTTCAAATACCATGAACTAAAGGCTTCTTTACTTCTTTGTAGAGCATCTCTGGTCTTTGGACGGAAGTCTGTTCCCACACACACTTGCCAGAGCTCTTTCTGAAACCAGAACTGACCTGTGCCTTTTTTAGTCAGAGCTGCCATGGTTATACTGTGCAGAAGGCCATCAGTATTAGAGTAACAAAAAAGGAGGAATTTACTATAAGAACACTGGAGACTCTCATAGCCATGCCTTAGGGACGCACTGAGCAGAGAGGGCCAGAGGCTGACGGAGCAGCCCGGAGGTTCCGTGTCTCAGCTCTCACATCTGCTCTGCTCTGCGAGTCACCCACTTTTCCTTTACAGCTGGGCTGCCTGTACCTCTCTGGGCCTGATGGGTAACATGACTGCCCAGAACTTCTAAATATATTACAGCTGCAGCCACCGAGTGATGCTTTTTCCTCCCTGTTGCTCACCTCTCTCAGAGTGGTTGAGAGCTCAGCAAATTCTCTCTCCATTCTTCGTGGTTTAGCTTAAGTGTTGCCTTCCCTGAGTCTCCCCAGTGCATGCCTGCTGCCATGCTGTGTGCTGCCTCTGGTAAAGCATTTGTCCCCTGTGCCCAGAGTGTCCACCTCCTCCATAAGACATAAGCGCCTTGAGGGGAGGGATCTTTTTCTCCTTATCTCCCCAGTACCTGGTTCCATAAATGTCTGTTAAAGAAATTCATGAGTGCAAATGAATGACTATAAGCCCTCTCTAAATTCACCTTTGAAATGTTCCTGACTTTACATGTATTGTTATGGTCCTTTTGGACTTTTGAACTCACTTCCTACCTTCATCAAGCTCTCTCTGACCCAGGCAACAGCTACACTTCCACCTCCACCTTCTGATTTACATGGGGCTTGAAGATGTGATGCAAGAGGTGGATGCTCCAAGACAGGGCCTGGGGTTTCGAGTCAAGTTTGAGTTCTACCACTTTCTAGCTATGAGACTTTAAGCACGTTATTCTGAGTTTGAGTATCCGAAAAGGAGATAAAGTAACAACTGACCTCCTTTGTGGTGTTTTGAAATGACACAGAACACCTAACACAATCCCAAGAATGTGGTAGGCACTGAACATATGTTACTTTCCCTGCTCCTCAGTGTGAGCACGTTTGTGGTTTATGTCTGTATGCGTATTTGTGACTGCCTCTGTGTGTATTTATTTGAGTATATGGAGGAGATGGATTTGGAGGGAGGAATGAAAATATGATTTGAGTCATCTACTTTTGTGTACTTAAAAATAACTACCTAGGCCCCTTCCACTGGGAGCACAAATGAGGTCCCATTAATGATAGTACTTATAATGCCACCACTTCCTGTCCCACCTGTGTAATTCAGAACCTGTTAAATTCCACTATCCGGTGTTTCTGGGACTCCTCAGAGAGTTTGAATTTAAAAAGAGACTTCTTAACTCCTTACTGATGTATGCATTTTATGAAGTCACCTCAGAGGAGAGCCTTCCAGCATCCAGCCTACCTTACCCCACGCAGTGACAAAGCTGTGGTCCATGCCAAGGGCACTGTCTCCTCGTGCCCCCACGCTTACCAGTCCTGAAGTAACAGCATGCCCAGGAGTCTGCCCTGACCCAAAATTCTCCCTGCAGAAGCTTCCCCTCAACTCAGTCATGCCTCATTCACTCTGATATTAGTGCCTCCAATCCTGCCTCAGCCTGGTCTCACTGAATCCATCTGCAAATGTTCCTCCATGTAGAAGACTTTATGTATGAGTGGGGTTTTGGGAAGGGGAATTATAGTTCTGGTGCTACTCTGCAGGGACCTCTCTTGAGCACTTGAAAAGTTCCCAAGCTGGTAAGCCCTCTCGGTCAATTCAGTATCCTCCATTTCTTCCTGGGCATGGCAGAGCTCGGCTCTTGCCCTTGCTCATTACCCAAGATCTTTGCACTCACAGGGAGGCATCTGTAACATCACTGACAAGCAAGAGGTACGTCCTGAGGTTCCCAGTGCTGGAGACACTGATGCTGGATGACAACAAACTCTGTAACCCCAACTGCTTTGCCAGCCTGGCTGGGCTCAGGAGGTAAAGCCATAAGCTCTCTCGGCAGGGCCCCCTCTAACCCCCAGCCTTGCTCACACCCTGAGTGCTGCCCTGGAAGCCAAAAAAACTGGTTTTAAACCCCAGCTCCACCGCCTATCTCTGCTGTGTGGCCATGGGTAAATGATTTCTCCCTCTGAGTTCTAGCTCAGCCATTAAAGTGGGGCGTCAGTATGGACATTTCTGATCATGTGACTGGATTAGCAGCAGCAAAAAGAAAGGAGAGTAGGAGAAAATATTAATGGAGACAGGATCCTGACCCGAGAAAGGAGACAGAAAAAAAAAAAGGATCAGAATCAGAAAGAGAAGTTTAACTGCTGAGTTCTACTTATTTGATTGAAGTAATGAAAATGCTGGCATTTAAATGGTTAAACTAAACCCCTGGGAAAATTTACTTTGGATTCAGCTACTATTTACTGAATAACTACTTTGTGCCAGGCCATTAACATTGCCTCATTTAATCTTCATAAGAACCTTGAAAGGTTAATGAGTAATTATCCCCATTAGGGACAGGCATACTGAGGCCCAGAAAGTAAGTCACTGGTTCAAGGTCACCAAAGTGTCCAAACTTGAGACCATGTTGTTTCCCTAAAGTTGCTTGGTAAATGTCCCTGACGTATCATTATTGCTGTGATTCTGCATTCACTTTCCTTAATTAAAGACTGAAGAAGTTAAGCCTGGACCAAAACAGGATTTCCCAGATCCCGTACCTACAGCAGGTTCAGCTCCTCGATGGATCGGGGAGCCCCTGGAAAGAGTCCCAGTCCACGCTGCAGCCCAAGGCATGGATGTTTGAGGCCTCAGATGAGCAGCCAGATGATACTGTACTGCCCATGAAAAACGACGTTGACCAGACGGGTGAGTGATGCCCTTTCCAGAGACTCTAGGCCCATGGTTGGAACAAGCTTCTGAGAATTTATTCTGAAAGCAGCTCCCTGGGAGCTGCTGCATGGAGAAGCTGTTGGGCTAAGCAAGGTGAAAGTCTCACAGGAATTATTTCAGTGACTTCCTAAGTGAATCTCAGCTAAGATGCTTTTAAAATCCAATTTAAAAAATAGATTTTTAAAAAATCTCAAATAACAAAAAAACTCCAAAGTAAGCCTTTCCAGAGATAGTTAATTCAGGGAGTGCTTCCATGTTCTCAAGGACTTACATTCTTCCCTTCTTTTTTCCTGCCATTCTTGGCCTGCTTTCTTGTCCTTGTTGGTTGGTTCCCACTGAGGTCTCAAGATGGCTACCCCAGTGCCAAGAATCACATCCAAATGGCAACATTCAGAGGCAGAAATGTCACCTTATTATAAATGAAAATTCCTTTACTACATGAAGAAATTTCTGGATTATATATTCTGCTCCACTGATCTAGTTATCTACTACTGTGCCAATACCTTACTGTTTTTGTTTGTTAACATTTATCTTAAATTGAAGAATAACTTACATAGAGTAAAATACAGAAATCTTTTGTAGAGCTTGAATTTTTACATACATGCACTCATTTAACCACTACCTATAGTACAACATAGAGCATTTCCAGCATCCCATATGGTACTGTCCCAATTATTACCTCCTCCAAGAATAACCACCATTCTGACTTCTATCACCACAGATAAGTTTGCCTGATTTGCAATTCATCTATGTGGAATCGTAGAGCATATGCTCTTTTGTGTCTAATTTGTTTCACTCAGCATAGGTCTATGAAACTCATTCATCTTGCTGCATATATCAGCAGTTCACTCTTTTGCATTTCTCTTATTTATTCCATATACACCACAATTTATCCTTTTTACTGTAGACATTTTGGTCATTTCTGTTTGGGGCTGTCATGGATAAAGCTACTGTGAACATTCTTTTACATCTTTTGGTAGACTTAAGCACTTGTTTCTGTTGGGTATCTACCCACGAGTGGGACTGCTGGGTCATAGAGTATAAAAGTATGTTTAGCATTCGGAGATACGTGGTTGTACCAATTTTCATTCCCATATTAATGTAGGAGATTTCCAGTTACTCCATATCCTCACAAATACTCGGTAAAGGCAATCTTTTAAATTTTACCTATTTTTTGGTAGGTATGTAGTGATAGCTCATTGTGGCTTAATTTGCATTTCTCAAGGGACTAGTGATGTTGAGTACGTTTTCATATATTTATTGATCACTTTGATATCCTCTTTTGGAAATATCTATTCAAGTCTTTTGTCTATATTTAAATTGAGTTATATGTCTTTTTCTTGTTGACTTATTTGAGTTTTTTATATATCCTGGATACAAGTCCTTTGTAGATCTGTGTATTACAAAACTTTTTTCCCAGGCTGTGGCCTGCTTTTTCGTATTATTAATGGTGACTTCTGATGAACAGAAGTTCTTAACATTAATGAAGTCCAATTCATCCGTCTCTTGGTGCTTTTTTTTTGCCTATCCCAAGCCATGAAGATATTTTCCTGTATTTTCTTTTAGAAACTTGATTATTTCAGTTTTTACATTCTGGTCTATGATCTGTTTAGAATTGATTTTTGTATATGATGTGAAGTAGTGTCAAAGTTTACTTTTTTATTTGGATATCTAGTTGACACAGCACCATATATTAAAAAGACTGTATTCTTTTCCCCACTGACTTGTAGGGGAGATATTATGGTAAGGCAGATGACAGTGTATGTGTCTAAATTAATGTAGCTTTATAACAAGTTTTGATAACTGATAATGAAGTTTTCCAGTCATGTTTTTGTTCTTCAAAATTGCTAGCTATTATAAGGCCTTCACATTTGCTTATAAATTTTAGAATCAGCTTGTCATTTCCCAAAATCCTGCTGGAATTTTGAGTGGAATTGTATTGAACCTATAGACGAATTTGGAGAGAACTGACATCTTTACAATATCGAGTTTTCTAATTCATTGAAATAATATATCCCACTATTTGTTAGGTCTTTTAATACTCTTTTCAACAATACTTTGTAGTTGTCAATGGCAAGATCATGCATATCTTTCTTTAGATTTATTCCTAGGTATTTGGTTCTTTTTTATACTATTGTCGATGGTATTGCTTTTTATATTTAATTTCCACTTGTTTGTTGCTAGTACATAGAAATTTTTTCTAGTACACAGTATATAGAATTAGTGAAAGTTTATCCCATAACCTTTCTTCCTTTTTTAATTAATTTAATTTTTTTTTCTATCAAATGTACATCACAGTGGTTCAACCGTCTCCCACCCCTCTGCCCCCACCCACACCACTCCCCTTTGGTAACCACTTGTCACTTTCAGTGTCTGTGAGTCTAATGTTGTTTTGTTCCTTATGTTTTGCTTTGTTTCTGTACTCCACAAAGAAGTGAAATCATATGGTATTTCTTTCTCCACCTGGCTTATTTCACTGAGCATAATACCCTCTAGATCCATCCATGTTGTTGCAAATGGCAGGATTTCTTTTCTTTTTATGGCTAAATAATATTCCATTGTGTATATGTACTACATTTTCTTTATCCATTCATCTATTGACGGACACTTAGGTTACTTCCATATCTTGGCTTCTGCGAACAGTGCTGCAATAAACCTATGGGTGCATATATCTTTTTGAATCAGGGATTTTGGTTTTTTTGGTTAATTCCTAGGAGTAGAATTACTGGGTCAAATGGTATTTCTATTTTCAGTTTTTTGAGGAACCTCCATAGTACTTTCCACAGCAGTTGCACCAATTAGTGGTCCACCAGCAGTGTAGGAGGGTTCCTATTTCTCCGCATCCTTGCCAGCATTTGTTATTTCTTGTCTTTTGGATAGTGGCCATTCTAACTGGTGTGAGGTGATATCTCATTGTGGTTTTTACTTGTATTTCCCTGATGATTAGTGATGTGGAGCATCTTTTCATGTGCCTGTTGGCCATTTGTATTTCTTCTTTGGAGAAGTGTCTGTTCAGGTCCTCTGCTCATTTTTTGATCAGATTTTTTGTTTTTTGGGTGTTGAGGCATGTGAATTCCTTATATATTTTGGATGTTAATGCCTTATTAGATGAGTCCTTTACAAATGTATTCTCCCATGCTGTAGGATGCCTTTTGTTCTCCTGATAGTGTCCTTTGCTGTACGGAAGTATCCTATAACCTTTCTCACTGCACTTACCATTTTTAATTATTTACAGGTTCTTTTTTGGTTATCTTTGTTCACAATCAAGACATCTATAAATGAGGGCCATTTTATCTCTTCTTTTCTAATCTTACACCTTGTTATTTCTTTATTTTGCTAAGACTTCCAGTACATATCCAGAACACTATCTCTTGACAGTTTTAATGTTTTAAATATCTTTTATTCTGTCATCATCTGCCTATTAATTTTGTCTATAATAGTATAGATGATATTTTGCAAAGAAATTCTTAATTTTGATCCAGCCAAATGTATTGGTTTCCTAGGGCCACCATAGCAAGACACCACAGACAGGGTAGCTTAAACCACAGCCTGGAGGCTAGAAGTCCAAGATCAATGGCTTGGCAGGTTGGTTTCGCCCGAGGCCTCTGTCCTTGGCTTACAGGTGGCCATCTGCCTCCTTGCGGTGTCCTCCCATGGTCGCCCCTTAGTCTGTTGTCTGGGTCCTAATCTCCTCCTCTTATAAGAAGACTCTTCAGATTGGATTAAGACCCATTCTAATAACCTCACTTAACTTTATTACCTCTTTAAAGGTCCTATCTCCAAAAACAGTCACATTCTGAGGTAGTAGGTATTCAGGACTTCAACATATGAATTTTGGGAGGGACACATGTCACCCTATAATGCAAAGTCTAAACAATTTTGCCTGATGGTTTGTGCCTTTGGGTTCTTACTCAAGAAGTACCTCCCTTTCTGATAGCCACAAAGATAGTTCCCTATTCTATGTTGCTGTTCATTTTGCTGTTTGAGTGATTCTTTCAAAGAGGGTTTGTGTGTAGATTTTCTGAGTCCTTAAAATATACAAAACTACCTTTATTTTGTTATCACATTTGAATGCTAGTTTGGCTGGATAAAGAATTCTAGCCTTAAAATAATTTTCCCTTAAAACTTTGAACATATTCCATTGCCCACTAGATCCATTTTTCCGGTAAGAATCTGACACCAATCTGATTCTCATCTCTTTGCAGGAAACCTATTTTTGCCCTCTGGAATCTCTTAAGATTTCCCTTTTATTCTTTGGAAATTTTACTAAAATGCATGTAGGTGTGCAACTCATTTTCATTTATCCAGCTAGGTACTTTAAGGGTTCTTTTAGTCAAAAATGTATGGTCTCCTTAGTCTTGGAAACAATTTTTTTATTTCCCCTTCCCATTCTCTGTGTAGGCTCCCTGTGAAATTCTATCATATGCTGAAAGTTTCAGATTTATCACCTATTCCTCTTTGCTGTTATACTTTATATTTTGCCTTTTTGCTCTGCATTTTCAGAGAGGCTCTCAACTTGGTCTTCCATCTTATGAATTAGCTCTTCAACTTGGTCTGTTCACTCATCCAGCACATAATTATTAAGTATTTGATTTGCTTATTGTATTTTAAATTTACAAACCTGTTAATAGCCTGTTCCACCATAACCTACTTTTTGTTTTAGGAATGAAATAGCCTTTTGGATTCCTTGGAGGACACTAATTATTCTATTTTAAAGTTTTTATTCTTTTTGTAAACTGCATTGTGGTTTTTGTTAAATGCCACTTCTGTTTTTTAATATATCGTAACTTTTTTTTCATAGTGTTAACTTTCCTCAGATACTAGGGAATTCTTTTTTTTTATTAAGGTATAATTGATATACACTCTTACGAAGGTTTCACATGAAAAACAATGTGGTGAGTACATTCACCTATATTATCGACTCCCCCCCATTCTCCATTGCAGTCACTGGCCATCAGTGTATAAGATGCCACAGAGTCACTACTTGTCTTCTCGTCTTCTCTGTGCTACACTGTCTTCCCCATGATCCCCCCCACACCATGTGTGCCAATCATAATACCCCTCAATCCCCTTCTCCCTCCCTCCCCACCTGCCCTACCCCACCCCTCCCCTTTGGTAACCACTAGTCCCTTCTTGGAGTCCTTGAGTCTGTTGCTGTTTTGATCCTTCAGTTTTGCTTTGTTGTTATACTCCACAAATGAGGGAAATCATTTGGTACTTGTCCTTCTCCGCCTGGCTTATTTCACTGAGCATAATGTACTCCAGCTCCATCCATTTATTGCAAATGGTAGCATTTGCTTCTTTCTTTCTTATGTCCATCTTTTGTTGAACAGTCTCCAACCAGAAACTTAGAATGCAGGTTCAGATTTCTGGAGCTGCTTCCTGAGATTGAGGGGACGGGCAGGACATGTACTGAGGCAGAGTGTGCTGAAGCCCATCTTTCATGTGGGGGCTCTCTGTCTCCCCAGGGGATCACTCTTCAGCACCCACACTTACAACATGGCTCATCCTCCTGCCAACTCCTACTTTGTTCCTTGCAGACTTTTCCCAAACTCCCTTCCAGACCCTTGCCACAGGAGTAGTTATTTATGCCATGTGGTGTTTCAGCCCTATCATTGTTTACTTCATTTTCATGTAATTTTTCTCATTTTAATATCATCAGCATATAGAAGGGGTCCCATTAGCCAGGGCAAAGGAGAGTGGTGTCTGCACAGGATCCAGGCCCAGAAGATGCTTTGATTTATTAGGCTGACCTCGGCTGTTTATTGGTCATCTCATTCCGGTGGTCCCAAGAATGAAATCAGCAGCAGCCTCTTCCTTAAGTCAGGAAGGTTATTCTTAGTATCTCTCCTGAATTCACTGTCTTTAACACATTCTATTTCTACTAATATAACAAATATACTATTTTTAGATCCTCTGACAAAACATCTCTCTCCTAAGTTGGTTGGGTTGCCTTCTGATTAGTACTAACTACCCAGCAGCCCCGAGGCTGGGAAGAGCTTGCACATTGCAAGGTCAGAAGGAAGGTCAGTGTGGCTGAAATATAGTATGAGGGGCAGGGGATCATGAGATAAGATTGGCGAAGAAGGCAAGGGCCAGGTCAGGCAGGGCCTCAGAGGCCCGGCCAAGTACTTTAGATTTTATTCTGTGTTCAAAGGGCTCATGATCTTACAGATGCCGCAGATAGCTCTCCTTCCCTGTTAGCACTGGAGCTGAGGACCAGTGAGGCCCTGTCAAGGGTCCTCAGTGGGTGGCAGATCCAGGTCCGGGCCTCTCTGGGAGTCAGTCAGCGCTCTCACCAACCTTCATCTGTTTCTCTTTTGTTTCAGAGGTTGTGTTCTCATCTCACCCTGGATTTTCAACCTCAGAGGTAGGAACTGCCTGTTCTGTATTTGTGTCCTTGAGTGAGAACATCAATTTTAGTAAACAAAAAGAAGCTAATGAAGCCACAAGATGCATTTATATGTATCACACTTGATGAAGCCCATTCATTGAACAGATATTTGCTGAGTACTGACCCTGTGCCAGGCTCGGTGCTGGCCTATGGGGAGGCAGCAGTGGCCTAGACAGACAGGTCCCTGGCCTCACACACCCACAGGCTGCCTTTAGTTGCTCTCACATGCTGCTCAGTGGTACTGGGTGCTGCCTCAAGTGATTAAGCTGGCAGTGAAGTGAGACTGCCGCCCGGATGAACAAGAGCCCCTGAAAGCTAGTGATCTTTGTCAAATCCATCACCATCTAGGGCCTAATCATCAGTGTTCCAGGCTGAGATCTGTGATTTTTGTCAGCACAGCATGTTGGTTCTTTAGGGTTAGACACTCGCTAAGCAAGCTCATGAAAACTGGTGCACTAACCAACTACCGGTTTATTCATTCACAGTCAGCAGTACAACTATACATCTAGTCACCTGCATCCTTGAGAGGCAGCAAGTAACCCCCTTTCCATAGTTACAGTGTGGGGAGAAATTACATCAGGTAACTGTTGCCATATGCCAAACCAACCCAATGATTACTGACCTCAAACAATAGCAGTTTGCTATTGCTCACAATGATTTGAGTTGGTTAGGTGGCTCTGCTGGTTTTGCCAGGGCTTGTTCGTGCAGCTGGCTGGTTAGCTGGCGGCTGGGCTCATGGGCAGCTGGTATGACTTCGCATCTCTATGTGGTCTTTTCATCCTGGGCCTCACAGCATGGTGGCATCAGGGTTCCAGGAGAACAAAGGTAAATGTAAGGCTCTGAAATTGGAACAATGGCACTTCTAGCACATTCTCCTGGTCAAAGCAAGGCCAGCATAATACAAGACACTCCTGCTGCTAGCCACCCAGGGTTACCATAGCCTTACAAGTTAAGGACACAATTCCCAACAAGAAACCAGCTGTAAGTTTGGGAGTCCCCAGGCCCTCCACACACTTGTGACCAAATGGCTACATATTCTGGAATTTTGACAACCCCCTCAGTTTCAGTAATTTGCTAGAACAATTCACAGAACGCAGGAAAGCATTGTACTTGCAATTACAGTTTTACTATAAAGAGAACAATTCAGGTCTAGGAGGTTCTAAACACAGAGCTTCTGTGCCCTCTTACCATGGAGTCATTGTGTATCACCCTCCCAGCACATCTGATACATTTAACAAGTGTCCAGAGTATTTTGTTGGCATTTCATTACATTGGCATGATTGCTTGAACCATGGCCACATACGTGATTGAATTCAATCTCTAGTTACCCCTCTCCTCCCCAGAGATCAGACTGGCATAAAACCCCAACCCTCTTATCAGGTGGTTGTCTTTCTGGCATGGTCAGCCCCCATCCTGAGTCATCTCATTAGCACAAACTCAGGTATGATCCACAGGGTCATGAAAAACAAAGGCATTCCTATCATTCAGGAATTTCCAAGGCTTTTAGAAGCTCAGTGCCAAGAACCCAAGATAAAGATCAGAAAAATTCTTTATTATCCTATAGCCAGTCTAGTTTCAAGGGGGTAGAGATACAGACTCCACCTCCAAGGCAGGGTCACACTACAAAAGGGCATATATATGGGATAGAGGGGCTTGCAGCCATTAAACAGTCCACCACGGAAGTCAGAGATAATTGGGAGGTCACTAGGTGCTCAGATCCCAGTTGTCCGGCATCTGAGAATGTGGAGAGTGAGTTGGGGAGTGAACATAGAAAGTTTAGCTGCCTCTTTCTGTACAGGTCAGATGCATCTCCAAGACAGGGCCCGCTCTGTTCCCAGCAGGGCCAGTCATGCCCTCAGGATGGGACACTGGTGCCCTGGACAGTGCCAGATACCCCCAGACCTGACTCTCTGGCCTCTTCTCTGTGCTCCAGTCTGACTTGTGCCCTTCAGCTCACACAGCCTTGCTCTGGATAGGGACTTACACAGTTGAGGAGAATGCCTTACCAGCTGCCACCACATTCCACTTTCTCAGGTCACCTGGAGAAGAGAGTCATATAAGCACCATCACTGATTTTTGTTTTACTTTCACCAATGACTCACCTGTCCAACCTCTGTGGGCTGTACAGGTTGGACCCCAGGAGAGCACAAAATAGTTGGCCCAGAGTAGGTGCTCTACAAATGTTCATTGAATGAACAAGTGAAATTTAAGTGATTTGCTCAAGATTATACAGCAATTAATGGAGCTTAGAACCTAATCTGGTTCATCTGAACCCAATTATTAGCCCAGGATCTACCCTGTAATATCCTTTGGTCCCATCTTACTCAAGGAATCAGTGTATTGAGTTAGGCAGAGTTATTCCAGCATCTTCCATTTTCTGCTTGGTCAAACATGTTGAGCTTGAAGCAGGGGAGTTGGTGCTGAAAACCACGGGGTCCTCATGACCCAGGTGCACTGTGCCACTGTCAGGCCCCAAGGCCTGCCTGCAGTCACCCAGGCTTAGCTATAATTTTACCCTGGAATGAAGAGCCTCCACTGCTGGATGTGATATAGCCCTTCAGACCAGGTGTTCCAGGCCAAGGTCACTCCTGCTCTGCATCTCCCTGCTAGGAAAGGTCCCCTTCACAGCGCCAGCACCTGCCCCTCTGCCTTTCGGAGAAATTTTAGCCCAACTGCATACAAGGAAGGGCCAGTTCAGGATAACTTGTTCTAGAACAGAAGTGGGAGGTGGGGGCAAAGCACCTCTGATGTCTGCACCACTGCTGTGTTATCCTTTCACCTCAGAAAATTAAAACTGGAACTTTGAGTGCCAGGGAATTAGCTCACCATGAGACCTCAGAGAGCTTGGAGCCAGAGCTCTGGGCCCCTGGTGACATCTCCCCCTCTGACCCTAGATGTCTTTTTCGGCCAGGCGTGTCTAGAATGGTCATTCTTTCCACCACACTCCACAGGAAGGGTCTGTTGGCCCTTGGCAGCATTCAATTTCATATCATCGGAGCACTTTGACCTTTTTTCCCTTCTAAGACAACCAAAGTATGTGGACTGCCTCCCATATTCAAGATTCTTCCCGTGAAGTCACTGAAGGCCAGGAACCAGATGCTGACCCCGCCCTTTCCAGAGCTGAGGTACCTTAGCTTGGCCGACAACAAGGTGACTTTGCTTCTCTACCCACATTCTCAGCAGCACGGATGGGAGGGTGGGTGAAAGCTGCCCTGGCCTAAATGCACGCCAACTCCCTGCGTTACAGATACGCAGGCTCAGGAATTCTCAGGCTGGGGTAAGAGGAGAGAGTGCAGGCCAAGGCAGGAGTCCATCCATTCAGTCACAGATATTTATTTAACACTTAACCGTGTGCCAGCCTCTGGGCTAAACACGGGTATACAGATGTGCAGAGAAAGATTGGGCCTCTGCCCTTGTGGAGCTTGTCACCTACAGGGAAGACTGATGCTGGACAGATAATCACAACATAAGCATACTTAGTGTTCTGAAGAAATTCACAGTGCTATGAAATATATGACCAGGGGGATCTAACCTAATTGGGATCAAAGAAGGTTCTCGAGAGAGTGGTGTTTAAATTGAGATCTGAATCAGTGGATATGGTGAAGTGAAGTGCGGGGATAGAGTGAAGTGAGAAGCATTCTAGTCAAAGATAACAGCAGATGTAAAGTCCATGGGACAATTCAACATGTTTTTCCGTAACATGTTTTTCTAATATCCATGTATTGTTTGACTTCCTGTAAATCCCAGTAATTAAACTCTGCTCAAGTCTGAAATGTAGGCAACTGCTAAGGTACCCTGCTTACCTCCCTTTGAAGGCACGAAGCTTACCTCCCTTCCAAGGCACGCAGGTGGTACACTAAACTCCCTATTTTCCTCTTACAGTTTTATAATTTTAGCTCTGACATTTAGGTCTGTGATCTATTTTGAGTTAATCTTTGTATATGGTGTGAGGTAGAGAGATCTTGTGTATGTGGATATGCAGTTTCCTCAACACCATTTATTGAAAAGACTATTATTTTCCCACTGAATGGTTTTCTTACCCTTGTCGAAAATCTGTGGACTGCAGATGAATTATGGGTCCCTCTTACTTATGGGTTTCTCTTACTGACCCAAAATAGTTAGAAGTTATCCCTTTTACTGACGTTTTTTGTTAAACTAAACTAGCTGCTAGTTCACTGGATTTCTCTATTATTTGCCTGCTTTCCATTTCATTCATTTCTGCTCATAACTTTATTTCTGTCCTTCTACTCACAGTGAGTTTAATCTGCTTTTTTTCTAGTTTCCTAAGTAGTATAATTTTACATTATTGGTTTAGATCTTTCTTCTTTTAATATTACCATGTAAAAACTATACATTTCTTCTCTAAGCACTATTTTAGCTGTATCCTACAAATTGTGATTTGTGTTTTTATCTTCATTCAACTAAAATATTTAAAATTTTTGTTGTGATTTCTTCTTTGATCTTTGTTCTGAAGTGTGTTAATTCCCAAATAGACAGCGATCTTCTAGATGTCATATTTGTTTATTTTTAATTTAATTTTACTATGTAAGAAACAATCTGTAAGATTTCATCCTCTGAATTTTGTTCCAACTTGTTTATGATCCACCATTCTATCTTGATAAACATTCTGTGTGCACTTAGAAAAAAATGTGTATTCAGCAGTTTTGGGAGGTAATGTACTCTAAATACCTTAAACATTAAGTTAAGGTGGTTGATAGAGCCACTCAGGTCTTTTCTGTACTATTGTTTTGTCTACTTGTTGCATCAGTTACTGAGTTAAAATCTCTAGGCATGATTATGGATTGGTTTATTTCTTCCTTTAGTTCTGTCAGTTTTTGCTGCATGTATTTTGAAGCTGTACTACATATACATTTAGAATTTTTATATCTACCTAACATGTTGATCTTTTATTATTATGACTTGTATCCCTTTGCCTCTAGTGATTCTCCTTGTTGATGTCTATTTTGTCTTTTGATACAGACACTGCTTTCTTATGCTTATTATTTGCATGATTTATCTCTTTCCAGGAATCTTTTTACTTCCAACCTATTTACAGCTTTGTATTTCAAGTGCATCTCTTTGAAATAACATACGGTTGGTTCTTGCTGGGATGCAAAGAGCATTTTTCTCAGTGTTCCTGCTCTGTTCTCAGCTTCAGCCTCCCCTGTGTTCCTATACCTTAGAGGGGTTTATCTCCACACTCTTGTTCCTCCCCCAGCAGCAGACTGCTTCTGCTTGTTACTAAGTGCTTGTTTGTCTGGTGGTAGGGGGCCAAAGGGAGGGTCCAGCTCCAATCTTAGGTAGGCCCTGGGTTCCTAGGTCTCAAGGACGAGCCTTTCTCAGTGGTCCTCCCCTTTCCCAGCAGTAGGAGACCTCTAATGTAGTGGGCCCCAGTTGGTTTCCTGCCCCTACCCCAGGAGTAGCAGGTTTTAATCTTTTTGCTCCCCCAGATGCAGGGATCTGGGCCACACAGTTTGCTGACCTTCCTCAAAAACATAAGGCTTTTGCAAGGGAGAAGGGCTGACAAGCCTTCCTGCCTTCCCTACAGTGGCCGTGCGCTCCTCCAGGCCTGGGCCCCGAGGAGGCTTTCTCCAAGCTCCCTCCCTTCATCCAGTCTCTTGCACGTATGTGGGTATGAATTCCCCTATGTCTGCAGCTCTCACAAGTTCTCTTCTCTTACTGTAGCCCACACTTGGCTGTTAGCAATTTATTAAAAATTTTAACTGCCCTCATCTTAAATGTTTGTATAGCCCTCACCATCTCTTCCTCCCGCGTCTGCTTCAGGGGAGCCAGTGTCTGAGTCCCAGCTCTCCGTGGAGGTGCCTCTCTTTCCTCAGATTTCAGCCCACTTGATTGCCCTGAGACCTTAGCTCTCTGTTGGACTCAAGAAAACTTATGATGTTGTAGGTTATTCAATTTTTTTCTTGTTGTTAGGAGGGAGCAACACTCTTTCCATTTTTCTACATTCTCACTTGAGTTTTCAAATGATATTTCCTTCATGCCATGTCTGTCTCTTATCAGTTGCCTATTGCCGCAACATACGGTTTTGGTTTTTTTTGAGGGCCAGGGCTTTATTTTGCTTACAACTCTTTCCTCGTGATCATTTTGTTCATGTCAATACTCACACTCCTGTATTGAAATTAATATTCAGTTCATTAAAGTTAAGATTCAAAACCAATTCTGCCTTCAAACAGAACTTGTACATCTAGAATATTCATTCAGAAATCTAGTAATTTTCATGTCAAAAATAAAATAATTACTTTCACTAAGCCTTTAACTCATAATTTACTTAGTTCATAAATTTGACAGATTAAGTTATATTTGCCTTAATCCAGTGAAAATGAGCAGAAGTTTCAATTTCATTGGAACCTGAATTTATTTCAAGGGGGCTTTAGCTCACCTTATAGGGAACAGGCTAGCCTGCTGGCCAACTGTTGCTTACAAAATCGCATCAGCCAGAATCCTAAGACCCTTATCTCTCAGCTGGGACTTAATTTCACCAAAAATTTGACACACATGTGCTGGGTATCTTTCAACTTTCTACCAGTTTCAATTGTAACTTTCTTCAACTTTTTAGCCACCTGATTTGGGTAGATGGAATTGCATCCTGATAAAATTAAATTAAATTCTTCATCTGCATTCTGTCATGATTGGTGCTTGACCACCTGATTTGCATACAAGAGACCCAGCACCCTCTTTAACCACCATTGTAGTTACTTATTGACACATTAGGTTTCTATGTAGGTTCATCCTCCCCTCCTCTAGAGTCCAGATAAGAAGTCAACAAACATTTTCTGTAAGGGGCCAGATAGTAAATATATTACTCTGTTGTAATTACCCAGCTCTGCCCTTGCAGCACAAAAGGTACTATGTAAATGACTAAGCATGGCAGTGTTCCAGTGAAACTTTATTGAATATATAAGAGGCCTAGATTTGACCCACTGCTCTATCTGTAGCTGCTGCCCTGGTTTTTGTACAGCCTTCAAGCTAAGAGTGATTCTTACATGTTTAAATGGTTGAAAAAAATCAAAAGAAGGATAATATCTCATGACCCATTAAAAGTATATGAAATCCAAATTTCAGAGTCCATAAAGAAAGTCTTTTTGGAAAAGAGCCACCACACTTACTTGTTCATGAATTGTCTATGGCTGCTTTTGTACAGTAACAAAGTTGAGTAGCTGTGAGAGAGACTGTGTGGCCTGCAAAACCTAAAATATTTACTATCTGGACCTTGACAGAAAAGATGAGTCAACCCCTGGTCGAGGTGATCAAATGGTAGAGTCCCTCAAAGCCTACTCCCAGTCCCTTTTTTCTGTCACTCTCTACTCTCTCTGCAGGGATGGCTTCCCATACTAATTGGCCCGTGAACAGTGGCATACAAAGCTCTAACTCTAATTCAGACCTCTCTGTCCTCCAGACCAGTATACCCACTGCCTACTTGAATCTCTACTCAGTGGTCCCAAAGGTACCTCCAGAGTACACATATCCCAAGTGAATTCATGATGTTTCCCTTCAAATTTGGTGTTCTTGCATTGTTCCACATCTTAATGAATACCTCTATCATCCAACCTGTTACTCAAGCCAAAGCCTGGTTGTTGTCCTTGATATTTCTCTTTTACATCCCTCCTCTCCCCTGTATCTAATCCATTACCATTACCAAGTCTTGTCAGATTTAGGTCCTCATGTTTCTAAAAATCCATCTAATAGGCTCCCCAAGGACGAGGCCATGCTACTTGAGGACAGGAGTTCTGTTTTGCTTGTTCCCAACCCAGTGCTTGGCACATGTAGGCATTCAGGAACTATTTGTTGATTGAATGAACAAAAATGAAAGAGAATAAATAAGTTAATTGCCCAGTGGCATCTAGTACTACTCAGTGAGGCTCCAGAGAAGCCAAACTGAAGTGCTGGCTCTGCCCCAGCCCTCAGACCTCAGTGCATTCTGTGAGTCCCGAGTCTGACTCGGCACCTTCCCATGTGTCCAGGCAGCTGAAAGGCCACAGCCTCACTCCTGGCCGCTCTGACACTGGCGGCTCTGATACTCTTCCCAGTGCTAATAGACACTCTCCCAAGGTAGTCCCCAGGTTTTCTAGCCACTTTGCTTAACAACGATTGTGTATTTTTTGTCCTTTAGAGGCTGACATCACAGGATGGAGCAGCCTGTGGGCCCCAGAAAGCCAGGAGGTCTGCCTTACCATTGGCTCTGCCTGTCCCTTAGATGAGTGTGTCCCCCTGACCTCCTGTCCCCTATCCCTCCCCAGATCAGTGCCCAGGGCAGGCTCAGTGAGAAACCATCAGGAGTGCTGTTGACAGACTGAGGAGTGTGTGGAGGGTGCATTGAGGAAGGTGAGGTGTCAAACAGGTGTGTCCTGAAGTCCAAGTGAATGTCCTGCCACACCTCTAGACTCCTTATGAGACGCGTGCTGTATGTGTTGGTTTCTATTTTGTCACCAACATCCTCAGTATTTGGTATAGGCTACATATCCAATGTGGGGAAGAGACAAAAATTCTTAACTTTCAAATGTAGAACAGAGATGGTGGAATTGGGCAGGAGGGGCAAGGTATTCTGGGTGTGAGCAAGGGGAACTGCAGGGATGACATGCTGCCCAGCAGTGAGTCCCATCACAGCAGATCACTTCCCTGGCCACACCTCAGTTCTTGCAAGTACGTAGCCCTACAGTGTGGAGGCTGAAAGCACTTGGGCAGAGACAAGGGGCAGAGTCGACACGATGCTTGCTCTCTCCTGCATTCCTTACAGATCTCAAAGGAAGAGTCCATCCTGCCAGCAGCTCTCTTCCCATCTCTCTGCGAGCTCATCTTTCATAACAACCCTCTGGTGGCCCACACACGAGGTACGGGGTCCACATACCTGCCCCCTAACCCAGTGAGTGCCCAGAAAGAGATGTGGGCACCCTCATCCCCACCTCATCGATGCCAAGCCCTGGGTTCTGCTGTGTTATGGGAGGAGAAGGTTCATGGTGCATTGGGGAAGGGAGAAAACAGCAGACACTGCTGGGCACCTGCTCTGCACCAGCTCATCCTGATGGCAAGCTGTGAGGCAGGCATTATTGTCCCCATGCACAGTGAAGGAAACAGGATCAGGGAGGTTCATCATATACCCAAGGTCACACAGCAAGGAAGAGGCACTGCTGGAAATGGAGTACAAAATGATCTAGATCCACGTGAGCCATTTAACGGACACCCTGCTCTGTGGAGCAGGTCTGTTGTGGCCTTATTTCGCACTTCCCAGCTGGGCGGAGTGCGGGGCCCTCCCTCCCAGAGCACATGGAATGCAGTGGGCATTGTGGCCCTGGTGGAGCTCACTGTTCAAGATGCAGCCACTGGAGACATTTTAGAACCCTAGCCCTGGGGTGCCGTCAGCAGAGTTCTAACCCTTGCTGCACACCGTCTTTGTTGCCTTGGGCAAATTTCTTAACTCTCTGTGCCTCAGTTTTCTCACCTACTGAATGGGAATAATATAGGTACCTACCTCCTAGAGTTGGTGTGAGAATTAAGTAAATTAACACATGTACAGCAATTTGAACAGTTCCTGGCATATAGTAAGTCCTCAGTAAATGTTAGCTAATGGTAATCTTATTCTCCCATCATGGCTCCAGGGGTCCCTCCACTACTGAAAAGCTTCCTCCAGGAGCGACTGGGGATCCACTTAATACGAAGGAAGATAGTAAAGGCTAAGCATCATATTTTGATGCCTCAGAAGGACTCGTGGAAGGTAAGGCTTCCAAGGCAGGACCCCCAGCCCCAGAAGGAGTGGAGTTGCTGCGTGCAGACTTACGTGGCTGTAGAGCCGCTCGTCCCCACAATGCCTGGAACCCCTCCGAGGGTCTGTGGCAGCAGTGCTGTTTTCTTCCCTTGCTCTTTCACATATGCATAGAGCCGGGACAGCCAGTCAGAGACCCAAAAGTCAGATTGGAAAGAAGCCTTGGAGGTTATTTATGTGACCTGATTTTATAGAGAAACTGAGGCCTAGAGAAGGATCTGTGGAAAAGTGGGGAGAAATCAGTCAAAAGCCAGGTATGAATGTGGTTCCATCACTTTCAAAGTGGGCAAGAGTTTCACTCTCTGAGCTTCAGCTTCTCGGCTCCAAATCTCTCACACAGGCCATAGTCACCTGTGGTGACTGTGGAGGCTACTCCAGGCTTAGAATACTATCTTCTGCCTGAATCTTAGGAAGCATTTCCTCGTGCTGAGAGCAGTCTGCTCCTCTGCGTCTCCCCCAGCCAGTGCTCTTGGACTTACCTTCTGGGATGCTGTACAGTAAGTCCAGTCCTTCTTTTATCCAAAGGACTTCAGAAATTTCTGTGAATTGCTCCTCACTCCTGAGCTTAAGTCTTCCTATAGTCAAATCCTGGGCTGAGCATTGCTGATCCCAACAGTTAAATGCAGTTAATCCTGTATACCCCTCTACAGCCTGCCTCTGACCAGCCAAGCTCTTTTCTGCAGCCCACAGAGGAACAAAGCAATATCCTAGCCAGAAATAGACGGAAACCCAAAGGTTTCCATCATCTTCCCTGTGACTGTTTCCTCCTCTCAGGACCTTATTACCCCCCTTCCCATCAGGCAGCTGGAGAGGGGCAGGTCACAGTGAGCCAGATGCTAAGTACCTAGCCTCTCTCAGGGCACAGAGCACCCCATACCTAGTACTCGGAGCACTTGTTCACATGGTCCCGTAATCTCTTGACAGGCAAGGAAACAGGCTCAGAGAGGTGAGATAACTTATTAAATGTTAGTGTTTGGGCCCAGGCGAACCTCTAAGGTTCCGACAAATAGAGGATAAACGCAAACACCAGTGGCCAAATGAGAGCAACTCTGTGCTTTGTTAATCTAGGCAGAGTCTGTCTAACCTTCAGTGCAGGACAGACTACAGAATGAAGCACAGGCCTTTAGCTAGGTTGGAGACGGCCTGTATCTCCCCAGTGTGCCCACAGAGATGGGCTAGATATACAAAGCAGACACCTGGGCCTCTTACCATCAGTTGCATGGACAAAGGCTGCTCGCCCTCCCTCATACTAGGCACGGACAGGACACAGTGAGTGGAGAACCTGCCAGAGCAGGCCCAGACCCACGCAATGCGTAACCAAGGAGCCGTGTGAACCCTTGATATATGAGAGCTCAAGTGGAAGATAAACCAGTTTGCCGTTGCTGCTCAGCCATTCAGCTTACCAGGGACAAGGTCCAGTGGCTGTCAGCCTCTAATCAATGATAGATCATCCAGGCTTTCCTTGGAAATGGGCTGGGAAAGTGGTCATGGGAGAAAGAGCGTTGCCCTCAGCGCCCTAGCACAGACCTGTGAGAGGAGGAACAAATGTTGCCTTTTCCCCAGCAGCCAGCAAATGATGGCACTTGGGTGTTCTTGATGCTGATGCATGGGCTCTGAAAACAGACTTTGTGTCCCTCTGCTCGAGCCAACATGTTTTCAAAAAAGAATGTTTTCTTTAACACAAAACCTCATTTTATAAAACAGTCATCCTTCTCACTCCTTAGTCTGTTTGGGTGCATTTGTACACATCTCACTTGGGAGAACTCTACAATATAGGCAGGGCTGGGCCTATTCTCTCATTTCCCAGAAATGGAAGCACAAAGGATAGAACTTTATTCCAGAATTTGGGATCTTTCCACTATACTATGTGGTCTGTCAAAGTGGAGACATAAGTGGACCACATACCTTTCACAATAAATAAAGCAATCCCTCATGGAACTCGGGAGGAGAGGAAAAATAGCTCAGCGGAGGGAAACTGTGTGCATGGTTCCCTCCTGGCAGCTGAGGCAAAAGAAGATGGAGGGATAATGGTACCCTTTTGCTAGTTAAGGGAGCCGAGCATTTCAACCCGAAAACAGTTATGTCCTTGGTCCTGAACCCTGAGAGATATTTGCCTCATGAAGCTTTATTTAAGCTGCAGGGACCAGCATCCAGAGATGGGCGGGGTGTGGATGCCTTCCAGAAAATGCAGGACCATCTCCCCCAGGCCCTCCAAGGAGGAAAGTCAGGGGCACTGTGTTAGCAGAAGAACAAGGCTACGGGGAGCCGGAGTGATATGATGATCAGGGATGAGAACGAAGCCTGGAATGGCAGGAATTAGATGGACCAGGCTTTGCCACTGAATAACTCTGGGCCTTGGACAAGTCATTTTACCCTTCTGAGCCCCAATTTCCTCTTGCATGAAATAAGGATAATTTGTCACTGGGTAGTTTGAGGTATAAATAAAATAACCTATGTATGGGGTACATTCTAGAGGCCTAATTAAGTGGATTTTGCTCCCTCCCTCCCCTTGAGAGCCCTCACCTACTGCTCTGACTGCTCTACAGAGTGACCTTAGGCTGGTGAGGTCCAGGAGGAGAAACTCTGATCAGGCAGCAAACTGACCTGGCCCTTCTCCCATGACAGGTGAAAACCCAAGTCCCAAAGGTGCCAAAGCAGCCACTGAGGCTCTGTCACCCACCTGTGACCACAATCAAGTCTCCCTCAAAGAAGATGTTACAGTCAGAGGCAGACACAATTAAAGAGCTGTCCACTGTCCAAAACGCCTCTCTGGAGCTGGAGATGCCTGCTGAGGGCATATGGGGCCTTTCTCTGTCCCACCAGACATCTGTGCCACTGCCTCCCATCTGCTCTGACTCCACTGTGCATAGTGAAGAGATCACACCCTGCCGGAGCGACACAGCAGGCCACCTCAGCCCAGAGCACCAGTCAGAGGAGGATACCAAGAGCACAGACTGTATATTCCTGACCCAGGTGCTGGATCCAGACCCTCCCACCCCTGCCCCATTCCTAGCCCCAGAGGCTCCTGCACAGCCCTTAGGTGGCTGGACGGCTGTAGGCAGCTGGAAGTAAGCACACAGCAGGTCTGGAAACCAGAAGGCAGCCCTTCTGACAGGAACTGCAAGCCCCTTCTGAGAGAGCCACTGACCACAGCTGCTGGCAGAGACATCCCGAGGAAAGTCCTGGTCCTGAGGGTCCAGCTGGGGCCTGTGGTTCTGACCAGTTTTCCAGAAGGGTTTGTACTGCCTCTGCCTGTCTGCTCAAGGCCATCCCACTGCTGATGTGTCCTGGCAGCTGAAAGGCTGCCTGAATCCTGGGGACACAGATGGATAAAACATGGGTCCTGCTCTGAACATGTCCTCAGTCTCATGGGGCAATGGACAGGAGCAGTGCACTCAGTCATTGTGGAGTCTGAGGCGGCCCCAGGGGCTGGGAGGTCAGAGGAGGGAGGAAAGCTTCTGCCCCAGACAGGAGGGCATCCTGGAAGAGGTTCAAATAAGCTGAGCTTGCAGGTGAGTAGGTGTTAACAAGGTGACAACGTGGGCAGCCATGGCATTCTGGGCAGATGTAAGCAGCGTGAAGCAGGGTACAGAGGAAGGAAATTAGAACGGCACAGGCCCGAGCCACAAATGGCTGGCTCAGTGTCAGTGCAGCAGAAGGGTGACATGGAGGAAAAGGAAAACATAGGCTGGAGCGTGTGCAGGGACCCCCAAACTTTGTTATTGTGCCATCCTTGCCTTCTCTGATCTCCCCATGTCATCTTGCCCCTCCAATCTGCAGATCTCTTCAAGATTTATGTCTCTCTCTATCCATCTATCTCTTTCTTATTCCACAGATGACTTCTAGTGACATAGGCATTCACACAGCATAAAAGTATCTTTATGAACTACATCAGGACCTTTTTGAAACACAGCAGAACATAAACAAGTATTTAAAATAATCAAGAAAATTGGATGAAAGGAAAATATGAACAGGAAAGGAAGTAATAAGTCTAAGGGTAATTCTGTCACTCAAACATGCACATCGTGCACTGCTGCTCTCAGTGGTGGTGTATTGCCAAATTGCATTTCTGAGCTTCCTAGCAGCCAAAGCAATACAATCAGTTATGAGTCACCATTATTGCGGGGGTGGGTGGGATTATTTGCCATTGCCTGATTACTCAGGCTATAATCTCTAATACAATGTTGAATAAAAATGGCAAGAGCAGACATCCTTATTTCTGATCTTAGGGGGAAAACTTACAGTCTTCCACATCAATTATGATGTTAGCTATGGGTTTTCCATAAGTATCCTTTATCAGACTGAGGAAATTTCTTTCTATTCCTAGTTTATTGAGTTTTTTTTATCATGAAGGGGTGTTAGATTTTGTCAAATGCTTCTTCTGTGTCTGTTGAGATGATCACATGGTATTTGTCTTTTATCTATTGATATGGTTTATTAATTGATTTCCACATCAAAGCAACTTTGCATACAGGGATAAATCCCACTTGGTCATGGTATGTAATCCTTTATTATCTGTTGCTGATTCAGTTTGTTAGTTTTTGAAGATATCTGTGTTACATTCTTAGGGATATTGTGGTCTATAGTTTCCTTTCTTGTGATGTCTCTCTAGTTTTGGGTTCAGGGTAACTAATATCTCAGAGTTATAAGCAGGGAGCATTCCCTCTTTTCTAATTTTTCAGAAAGTTTGTGAAGGACTGGTGTAAATTCTTTAAATGTTTGGCAGAATGGTCTAGCGAAGCCTGGTCCTTGGCTTTGTTTTGTGGGAAGTTTTAAAATTATATTTCAATCTCTTTACTTGTTATCTATCTGTTCATATTTCCTTTCTTCTTTGGTCAACCGTAAATTTTAATAAAGGGTGTAACTACATCCCTATGTGAAATACAGGGGGGGCTAAAATGTGAATTCAGACAATGTTCACTCATCCCCTTAAAACTCCTCCCACAGCTTGCCACCATGGTGAGAATAAAGAAAATACAAGCAGAAAACAAACACCCTTAGCTTGGCATGTAAAGGTCCTTTCTGATCTGGGCCCTGCTTACTGCTCCAGATGCCTATTGCCTTCCAACCAATTTTTAGTTCTCCCAAATGCACTTGCTGTGTCTTATCTGTGCATGCTCTTCCCTGCCTGCAAGAGTCCTCCTTCCTCATCACTTGCAGCCCATTCCTCTCCCTACCCTGCGTGCAGATGGCTCTCCTAGTTCTTTAAGACTCAGCTCAGGTTAAGGCAGCACTTTCTCCAGGAAGCTTCCTGGCCCCCCAGGCTAGGTTAGGGCTTCCTGTGGGCTCACCCAGAAGCCCTGTGCTCTCTGTTACAGCACTTACCAAGGTATATATGGCTATTGTCTATTTTCACATCTGTTTCCTCTCACCCCAGCTTTGGTTCTTGCCTTTAGCATTAGCACAGAGTTGATGCTGAGAAATGTTAACAGAATGAATGAATGTGTTTTTCTTCATGGGCATAGGTGACTGGGCTGCCTCCATCCATCCTGCAGGATGATTCAGAGATGAAGGAGAAAGACCAAAGATCACCACGCACAGCTCCCAAAAAGGTGAAGAGGCCTCGGAGGAAGCTCCCACCAGCCTCCCTCCCCAGCAAGTACCATGGCTATGAGGAGCTACTCACAGCCAAGCCTGATCCAGCCTTCACTGAGCCAAAGGGTATGTGAGGAGAATGGCTTCCAGCCAAGGGGCCTTCTTCACAGCCCAGAGCACATCAGGGCAAAGCCGCAGCTGGGTCACCAAACCTCTTTTCCAGGCCAGGGAGCTGCCTCCTGTCCAAGGGCCCCTGAAGGTGTCCTGGTTTGGAGCCCTACATGCTAGGACACCAGGTCTGGTCCATCATTCATTTTTGCAGAGCCACAGCTGTTTAGAGATTCCAGCCAGCCTGGTTGAAAAAATCTCTTTAGGAAGGGTTTGATGAACAAACACCAGACTGGTCAGATTCCTGAGCTCCTCCCCAGTCTAGTTAGGCCCCAAAGTGAACATCCAAAATCCTATTTGGTTTGAGGCAAGAGAGGCAGCACTCTCTCTGTGCCCCTTGTTCCAGAATGTGTTGACAGTACTTGGAGTTTCAGAGAACTGGAGCTCAGCTCTGCTTTCTTGGGTGGCAGCCCCTGCGGTGTGAGCCCTGGCAGGTTAATGGGCTTACATTGGGACCCCCTTTCCCTGCTCCACTGCTGTTTTTCCATTTGGATCTGTGCTCACAGGGGACCAGTATTCACTGAATGAACGTGGAAGCTCAGGCACTGCAATGGATAAGGGAGAGATGTGGGAGCCGTGTTTTCTTGGGGCCTCCCAAAGTCTTTTACCCAGGGCTGCTATGAGACTGGGAATGAGAAGTCAGGGACGCAGAAGCCCTGCAGGAGGAGGGGGCAGGGCCTGGCCTCAACCTTGCCTTTTTGTTCTAGGAATTCAGAAGAATGCTCAGGCCCTGCAGCACATGCTGAAGCATCCGCTGCCGAGCCACTCTCCCAAGCCCAAGCTTAACACTCCTTGGAAACCCTTTCTTCCTAAGGAAAAACGGGTAAGCCTCTACCTCCCAGAGTGTGAATATTCCCTCAGGAACCCCACAGGTACAGGGTGACTGTCACCTTAGGACCTTCTAAGGCCCAGACCTTCCCAGTGCCCCCACGTGCTCCCTTGCCTGCTGTGGAAATCTTCTGAAGTGAGGCCAGGACGCCTGAGTGGGAGATCCGGCTAACTACCCTCTCGCCTGTGTCAGGCCCAGAGGATCCCTATTCCGCCCCCACGGAAGACTCGAGCCCAGCTGCTGGATGACATCCTCATTCGCATGCGGGACACCAGGAACATTACAGAGGCTCCGCTAGGTGCGGCTCTGCCCCCAGTCCTCAGCTGCCAGGACCTGCCCTCTGGAAGTTTACTTATCTGCCGGGATAAGGCAGAGCTCTTGTGTGGAGCGGGAAGGGCCCTCAGCATCTGCCACAGGTCTTCCTGTGTGCAGATGGAAACCAGGCCTGGGGTGTGGCAGGGAGGGGCCTCAAGTCACATAGCATCTTACTGACCAGAAGTATGGCTTGCAAAAGAATCAGAAGAGGACACTGCTGGCTTCCTAACGCCCCACACTGAGGAAGCCATTTTCAGTCCCTTTCACATCCTCCTCCTACCCCATCCCATTCTGGGGGGACCCCATGCCCTGACGCTTTGGGCTGGGTGGACCCAGGGTGAGCCCTATGCCCCTCCTGGCTCCTCTCCCTGCAGGAGCTGTCCTGCGCGGGCGGACGGAGCAGCGGCTGGTGAAGCAGCAGCAGTACCTGGAGGCCAAGCGGCTGTTGAAGGAGTTTCAGGCGCGCTACCAGCAGCAGGTGCACTGCTCACTGCAGACGGTGTTTGGGGCCACAGCACCGCCCCCAGCACGCCCTGCACTGAGCAAGGGCCAGTCTAAGTTAGGCCGCTTCCTTGAGTTCATGGATGAGCTCTGCCAGGAGCCCACAGCCAGTGACCCGAAAGGCTAGCACCGCACACAGCGCCATACGCTCCCCCAGGGCTCTGTGCCCTCACCTGGGCCTCAGGCCGGCTGCACCTGGCTCAGGCCTTGAAGCACCACTCAGCCTTGCTCGCTGGCTCCTGGAACATGGGGAGCTCATCAGGCCCTCCCCTCCCCAGCCGGGGCAGGACCCAGCAACAATAAAGAGTGGGTGCATAGACCAAAGTAGCCTGTATTCTTTCTTGGAGACTGGGCTTGGCTGTCAGGCTGGAGAAAGATCCCCTGCTGATGTTCATCCCTTGAGTCTTGTGGGAAACCTGCCTGAGTCACAGGTGTCCAACAGAGCTGATACGCGCTGGGATGGAAAACAGCAGATTGATGGAACAGAGAAGTTAACTGACTCATGGGCTGGCCAATAAAGTGTGTGTTTGGGGTGGGGCTGGGGCAGGAACTAAAGCCTCCAGGCCCCAAAAAGGTGCTTTTTCTGTTGGGTAGTTTTTTCCATTGTGAAGGCAAATGTGAGAGGGAATGGGATTGGGACCTCCCTTATCAGGCCATGGCCTCAAAGTTGGGACAAACTGGGTAGAGGGCTTACTTGGAGTTTCCCAAAGTCCTCTATTCCAGGACATAAGCTGAAGTTCCATATGCAAAGACAGTGGGCTGTGGCTCTCAGACCCCAGGGCTGTGCAAGGTCAACCTGGGCTCACAGTCAGGAAATTGGTTCTGGCCAAGGCAGCCTGTGGCATTGCCTCACTCTAGTGAGTGCCCAGCAGTCAGCAGCAGCTACAGAGGGTCTAGGGAAGGCCACTGGGGCTGAATTCCAGAGATGTGCACTTGGGGACATGGATGCTGGGTCTGTTAGTCACCTAGGCAACCCTTGCTCCTAAAGCTGCTCTCCTGGAGGTGCCTACAGTTCAGAACTGGGGAGCAGAGCTGCAGTTCCCAGGGCCCAGGGGTCCATGGCACAAGGATTAAAGATCCTCAGCAAGGTACAAACTCATAAAGCCTAAGTTGCTATTAAGGTGATTATAGAAATAGTGTTGTAGCCACAGGTCTGACAGAAGCATGGTGGAGTGTTAGCTATATTGCAAGTGTGAGACTCTACTAGGACATAGAAATATTTGCATACTATCATACTCGACCACACAGTCTCACATGTGTGGCCAGTTATTATTTATACCTAGTTGCAGTCATACCAGACACACACATTCACATCTGTACTGTCACATGCAGTCACATACACATACCAAGTTGCAAAGTCAGTTAGTTACACCTCCCCATCACACAGGCACTCGGACAGACCCAGGTAATAAAGAGTTACCCACAGTGGCACCCGTGCACAGGTATGGTGCTACTCGCCACCTCACATCTCCCAGGGCCCAAAACCTCCGTTCTGTGAGGAGGGGAGACCCACTCCAACAGTCACATGAACCTCACTAGGTCCCACTTGCGGGGAACTGGAGTGCTCCTTTCAGCCAGAAACACATTGAACTGAAGGCTCAGGCTTGAAAAGTTCCTGGGAACAGCCTCTCAACGGCGAAGCAGGAAGCCTCTTGCAATCTCCCCAACAAGCCACTCAGCTCCTGCTTGCTTATCCAGTGACAGGGAGCTCATTCCTTCCTGTGCTGGGGAAGCTATTGGGCTAAGCTATCACCAGAGTCCCTCAGTAGTACCTGCTCTGCCTTTAGGCCAAGAGTGTTTTTGCTTTCTCTGCCCAGCTAGGTGAACCTTCACAGACATGAGAACATCCTGAAGAGACTACACTTATCCAGGCCAAACACTCCTTAACCTTGTTATTCCACACAGGAGACCAGCTAAATAAACTGGTTGCCTCTTCTGGACTTGCTAAGTTTTGGGCTTTTCCCTCTACTCATGAGTCAGTAGTCCAGCAGTGTCCAATGCAGCACACAGCAGCATGCCCACTCCCTTTTCTTGTTAGGACATTCTTTTATAAGCCTACCATTTTATCTGCCTTTGGCTTATTCCTAAGACCAATGGCATTACACCTTCGGCTTTACTGAGATCTTATCAGCAGACTACAACCTCAGAACTACTTTCCCTGTTATTACTGAAACTCACCTGTGGTGTCCAGTGCAGGACTTCTACTTCATCATCTTAGTCTCAGCCCAGAGCTCCAAGCTGCCAGAATCATTCTGCTTTCCTGATTGTCATGAAAAGCTTTCCCATCTTAGAGTCTGTTTACAATGAGCATAACAGGTGTTGGCCCCCTGTCCCTCATCTATAATCAAATTATATCAATGTAGAACTCCCTGGAAGGAAGCCACTACCCAGTGACTGCTGCTCGTCTAGGAAGACCTGGGTAAGCAGACCACATGGGAGCTGATGCTTCTTACTCACTCATCCTTTCAGCCTCTGCCCAGGTATGTCCTTGAACTTTCCTCCCAAACTGATGGGCTTTCCTTCTTTGTGACCCAGTATGACCTCAATGGGCATCACATTACACTGTTATACCAAGAATTGATTATACCTCTGGTGCTCAGCCCAGGGCCTGGGGCCAGGAGGCACTAAGAATTTCAAATTGAATGAATGTGCTAGGAGGAATGGGAAGTGGCTCATGCTGGCTGTCCCAACAGGATTATGCACATTGTACACAGCTATGGTTAAGGTGACTAGAAGCCAGTGCTGGGCATTCCCTTAAAACCACCATGTTCCTATCAAGAAAAAAAACTATACTCCAACATGCCTAGTGATACAAGTATGCTAGGCAGGATATTAGACCACTCACTTACCCTTTCAAGCAGGTGAACTGCATTGCTGGAAGCCATAAAATCATTTACAATCAGTTGTCTCCATTCTTTTCTACCTCAGAACTATTCCAAACTTAGTCACATCACTACGGTTCAATTTTTAACCCTCTCTTATTTGTAGTATGATACAGGGCAGGTCATTTAACCTTACCCATAGCATCAATGGGGTTTTCAATCTCTATGGGTCCTTCAGGTGTTAAAAACACACTGTGAGGGTTCTAGAGTGCAAATTTCACATTCTTGGTTTCCCAAGCTTTGTGCTTTTGAAGAGACACGACCTATTTCTTGTCTCAGTGACTAAAGCCTCAGACTAGATTTGCCAAATGAATGGGGATTCACAACCAAGCCGCCTAATCAAGGTGGCTTTTGGGTGGCAGCCACCCTCCCTATTACCAGCATATTCTCCCCAGCACATCTACCACTAGACGCTTCAGCCCCCTGGGCTGGCTCTTACCCAAAGTTCCCTTCCTTCTCCATAAGCAGATGGGAAGCTGGCTGCCACTCTTCTGAGCCTTCTCCAACCTTCTAACAAGAACAAACCAGAAGAAATCATTTCTCCCACCACCAAAATTAAGCAGGACCCTCCCATTTTCCTAGTCATTTATCCAAAATGCCAGTGAGTGCCTGGGGAGAGCTGGGGTGGCTAGAGGGGAGAGAACTGATTTAGATGCTGATTGTGCCTTACAATCCTTGCTACCCAGGTTACCTCCCATCCCTACAGTGGCTGCAGAGGACAGGCTCTGATCTCTAGTCCTGTCAGGCCCACAAAGCAACTGGAACCATACTGTTAGCCAAGGCAAGTGGAGGAGGATGGCACGGCCCTGAGGTTGATCTGGGCCAAGGCAACATGAAAAGCAATCAGTGGCTTTGGAGTCAGAGGACTCAGCTTCCAGGCTGTGTCAGGAACACTTTCCATCTGTAAACTCTCTAATGTAATGCACCAGGCTAATAATGAGTGTGGTATGTAGACTATTTTCTTTTACTTCAGGGCCATGAGACAAGTTTTTACATCTCCAACTAGCTGCCCTGTTTCTTGCTTATCATTCTAACAACTCTCCTTTGGAAGAGCTTGGGCCAGATTTCAAAGATCCCTCAAATTCTGGTTTACCATGTATGGCATGAGCTCTTAGATCAGTCCTTTAAATTGACTTTATAAGTTTAGATGGGAAAGGAAGACATTTGTTCTCTGTTGAATGAGAACCTGACACCAAGAGAACTTTCATGCATTTCTGAGCAATGGTTTCCAAAAGAGGGAATTTTAAAATATCAGATGTTCTAAGTACACTCCTAATATGCAAGGACAAGGTCCTCCTATACATTTGTTCTCTATTCAAACTCTTTCTGGTGCCTTCATGTTGAAAATGAGAATGAGAGCTGTAAATTGGAAATAACTTAGAACTTCAAAGATGTAATTGTACACCATGGAAACCCCATCCCACCTTCTCCTATCATTCTGAATGCCAAAGCAAGATATTCCAATGTGGGGCATCTCCTTGAGCAAAGATGGCATCAGAAATAGCTGAGCCTAGATTTGCCCAAGATTGCTCTCCAAAGACTTAGACTAGAAACAGAATGTTCACTTTCATGAGTTTGCTTTACTGAATTCTCAACACGGGCCCCTCCTCAAACAGGCAAACACATAATGAAAAACGTACTTTGGTACTATTTAAACAACACATCATGCCATTTGATCCTGTGCCATCTCTCTGCTGGCAGCAGCATTCCTGACAGGGCACACCCTGCTCTGAGTACTCTTTTGTCAAAATGCTCACTATGTGTTGGAGAAGAAGCAGCTAGCAGTGGCAGTGCACAAGGACCCAGGGCCCTTCTCCAATTCTAATGCAGACAGCAGGTTGAATAAAACCAATATACAACCATTTTCTATTTCTGGGGGAAAGGGAAAAGGCCCTTAAGACAGCTGTTTGTACAAAGAATTGAGAGTAAACAGTTGATTAGGTGCAAAAAAAAAAAGAGGTTGGCATTTAATAATCATTCTTTCCTTGCACAGTTATCCATTCTCTTATTAGGACTTTTTAAAGTGTTCTGCTAGAGGCCAAGGGTTGAACCCACTGAGAGCCCCTGCTCACATTGGTAGCACAGCTTGGAGGATGGGCAGGGCCACCAAGGGAGAATCTGATTGTTGCATTCAGGGCCAGGGCCCAAAAGCTACTCTTGAGATCTAATGGCTTGAACTTTGAGGAGTGCACTGCCTGTTTTTACCCCTTTTAAACAAAAAGAAGATGAACAAGCCTGCCCTTGTCTTGGCTTTGTCCAACTAGTTCTTGATGTAAGACACCAGAAAAGGCAGAGCCTGTTCCAAGTTTGAGGCTGCCTCCCACACTGAAAAGATATTAAGGAAGCATTTACTCACAAAGCAAAAAGTGTAAATATTCTTCTTAGGAAGAAAAAAAATACTGATAATACATGGAACAATGTGCACATTCAGTCTTGGCACTTTTCCTTCATCCAATTTAACTAATATCTAAACTGGTAATCTGTGCTTATCTCTTTTCTGTAGAATAATTTTCAGAAAGCTACAGTGAATAACAATCATGTGTAAAGATATATTTCTGGATCATCTTTAGAGGAAATTCTCCTTAGCAGCTTCTTTCCCCAGAATCTGTGCCATCCCCAACAAAGCACAGTTTTCTCACTGAGTCACAAGACTTTTTACAGCACCTATATATGCTCACTTCTGAAAACCAGATCAAAAGACTACTCTATGGTTTGATGAGGAAAAGGCTGGCTGAGAAGGATTTAAGTTCCTAAGGAGTTCTGGTTTTCAAAGAAGAATGAAGAGCTGGCTGGGTTTCAACTCTTGGTGGTGACTATTCCAATCAAAATATATCACTTCCTAAGATTCCATATTCATCTCACTCACTCTATGGGGCTTTTCCCAACCAGGGTTATATTCAGGAGCTATAGGTATATTTTAATTCTAACTGAAAAAAAATCAAGGAAAAGCTGTTAAAGAGCCTCCTAAATAATTTTGGTGTCCCCTCATTAGCAAATTGTGTGTGTATACATAACTTAATGGACTATTTATTCAGATCCTAGGAAGCTACAGTATGAAATAGGGCACAGGGCACTGGACCTCAAGAACCTCATTTCTTAAAAAAGAAAAGAGGGGTGGTAGGGATTGAATTTAACTTAGATGACTTCCATGTCTGTTCCACCTATAGCATTTTGATTGTGATCCAGCCTTCAGTGTTTCTTTCCTTCCTCCCCTGATGACCTTCCAGCTTGGTGCAGAGCCAGGCAGGACAAAGGGAAAGGAACCCCAAGCTGCTGCCAGCTCTGGTGAGCAGTCTGGCTGGGGAAGAGGTTAAAAGGTTTCCAAGTTGACATGTAAGCCCTGACCATGTCAGTGATCAATCACAACCTGACTTATTTCTTGAGACTTATGCTAAAAGCAGCTCTTGAAGATGTTACCATCCTGGAATTACTGGAGGAGAGCATCCATTGTCCTCTGGTAGAACACTTAGGAAATGGAAAGCAGTGTTACAGTAAAATTCACAAATACTGATGGGGGCATCTGAAATGTTCAAGGCAGTCTGCTGGGTGCTGGACAGTACCTTGAATGGACCATCCAAGATCACTATGAAAGAAGTGGCCTTTCAAAAGACCATTAACAAACTCTCAGCCATACATACATTCAAATACATTCCATTACACACTGAGCTCCTCAAGATCAGAGACTGTCTTTTCCATTTGTGTGTGTCTCCACGACCCAGCACGGGGCTGGCACAAGTTCAGGGCTCAGGAAGTATCTGTCGAATGTAACAGAAGGATGAACGGCACAGCCTTCAGTCACCAGCTTCGCCAGGCACGCACAGTGGCAGCTTCCCATTTCAGTTGGTTTCTCAGTTTGTAATCATATAGCAATTAATTAAGCAGCTTTACTCTGTTAAGGGCATTTTTTTTGGAAAATGATCAACAACAACAACAAAAAGAAGATTCATCACCAGTTTGTCCTCCAGGCAAGAATTTCAAAAATTAAACAAAAATGAATGAAGCCACTTTCAAAAGGTTTTCCTGGGAAGCCTAAGCCAAGAAGAATTAACCTTTTAAAAAGAGGCAATTATAGGAAAGGAGCCGGGGCTGGAGGTATAATTCCGATCTGACACCAACCTAACAGGCCCAGGTAACTTCGTCTGACAGACACAGTCAACTGTCTCTCCCTGTCTGGGCCAGGGCTGAGCACCCCTTCTCAGGGCACCACATTATTTGGTTTCCCATCAAAATGACCTCCATTCTCCAACCTCCTCCAACTTCTCCTTTAATAAAAAACACAGAATACATATACACAAGGAACAGAGTTAGCAGGACATGGGAAATTTGTATGGTGAATTAGATTCCAGTGATCTGTGAGAAATATGTTTGCTTTGTAAAATACTGTATCTTGTTCTATCTCACAAACCCTCCCCTCATCCCTCTATTTACCTTGTCTTTCATTTCTCCAAAGAAGTCATATCAATAACTCCATTTGTGACCAACTCCACAATCAAAAAACAGGAGAAGGAAATTTTTCAAAAGAAAAAATATTCAGGTTTTAGTTATTAAGTATGGAACAAAACTTAAAATATAGAAAATACCTTAGTGGTTTTTTTCTTCCTCCCAAGCTGAGAATTTTAATGATGGAGCCAAGTCCCCTCTTTAACCTAAACTGCTTTACCTGTATTTGAAGGACTACTGCTCAGCTGGAAGTTTGGGAAAGAACAACATTTACCATTCTAGGCACCAGAGTAGGTGCAAGCAGGAAAGTCAGTAAGCTGGATCCAGCATTTAACAAGTGGCTGTTCACTCTGCACCTGAAGCTAAAATCTGTTACTACTGCTGGGCAATTGCTTAAAATGAAAGCATTACTTTGGGGAAATATTTAAAATATATGTCTTTTTCTATTAAAAATATTTATCTTTTTTCCAAAACCAAAAATCTGTTCCAACTGAAAAGTGCCTTTCAAATTATTGGAGATATAGAAAAAGGTGGCAGGTGGAAAAATAAGTGTCTTTGCTTCTGCCAATGAGACTAGACTCCCAGTAATACTAAGATCAAAAAGGAACTACATGAAATGTCAGTAATGGATGTTTTCTCAAAGGGCACTTAGTAAGTCACCCTTCCTGTCCTCTGCAGACTAGTGCCAGCTCTTCCATCTTGGGTACCAACCCTTCAGCAGTCTTTGGAGGGCTTATGTTGCTGGTGGGACCTAGAAGTGAAGTGGTGTGAATATAAAGTAATGAGACTGATGTATGTTTTTTGAAACATACTTCTGCATGTGGGCACGCAAAGACGCACAGAATACATACACATTCAGGTGAGGGCACTGAAGTAGTCACTGAAGAGGTTCCACATATCTCAATGATGACCAAAATGCTTAAGACATCTCTGGAACTTCTCTTTGGGAATTGTAAATAAGCTACACAAGAAAATGGCTCTGATTGCTTTACAGCTGCATTATATTTACTACTTCAAACCCTCTTGATAACCTACCTTCTCTTCTAGAGTCTTCAAATAGCTTCTAATTTCAAACTTAAAATCTTCTTTCCTATAACCTTGAAAGATTAAAGATGTTTGCTCAGAGAAGAAGGGCAGAAATCTCCTGAGAAGAATCAAAAGGCGATATAGTAAATCCCTAGTGACCTACATCAGTGAGTCAGTGTTCGGGATGTTATCTTCCACATTACTAAGAGGAAGAGTTTGAAGAGGTGACCATTAAGGTCCCTTCTTGTATTAACATTTTAGAAATCTATGTTTCTAAAAGTTTCTACACTTTGAGGATAGTTCCAGAAATGTTTTTGCCAATGGCAACATCATTGGAAAACCTATGCAGTATCCTGTTAGGACCACACAAGGGGGCCAACATACATAGCGATATATAAGCTCTGAAAAGTTTGTTAAAATGCCACTCATATGACTTTATAGTAACAGCTCATACATGCACAGGGAATGCCAGCCCATCATCTGAGATTCCCTAAAGTCATACCTTAATCCCTATTCTCAAAGAGCCCAGATGGGCAGAAGCACCAAGCACCACCAGGGATGCAAAAGACACACGGTGTCGGCTGCTAAGGAAAATAAACCCCAAAGGTCCATGGGACTGAATTTACCAGCTGTATCCAGCTAGATACCTTGTTTCCATAGCATGGAGTTTCAGCATTGTTCTTGCCTGACTTCTGGCAAATTTTTTGGATTTTAGATCAACACTGCAGATAATCCTGGGCTATGTGGATAGTAATAATGGAATCCAATTGTCATTTATCTCACAGGGTAGAGGCCCTCCAACCCCCACCCCCAGGAATAAAGAAGGCAGTAAACCATTGGGGTGGGGATATGGGCACAGTATATATTGATACTTCCAGTCAATCTCAATTATCTGCATGTGGGTTTTGCATGATGGGTATTCTTTGCCCAGCCAGCTTTCCCTAGGCTCCCCTGGCATGCCCTTGAGTTGCTGTTCATAACAGCAGCCTGTTAGCATGGAAAATCCATGGGATTTGTTGTCAAGAGATCCAGCAGTCAGTCTAGGCTCTGCCTCTTAGTTCAGAGATCCTGAACATCTGCACTGCAGTTTTATCATCTAAAAATGGAGCTAATATCACTTCTGTGTTAAGTTTCTTGGGAAGACCAAATTAAACAATGACTGTGAATGTGGTTGGTCAACTATATAGCATTAATCAAATGTCATTTTTTAAGCAGGGAATGTAAATTAACTTTTGTAGAAGTATAAACTCAACTGATTTCATTGGGTATATTTACTTGTGGCAAGAGTAAGGAGAAGGGGGAACATAATCTCTTTGGATCTGCCAAAGGATGACACTGTTCCACTTTTTGGGAAAAGATGGAACTAATTTTTATCTGCAAGGCTGGTTTAAAACAACACCCTGGTGAAAGAAGTCAGGAGGTCTATCAGTTTGAGAAGGTATCTCCTCTTTCCTGTACCATTTCTAATTCTGTCCACTGTGCTCCTGAGTCTCATTCCAAATTGGGTGTTGCCAGATTTGGCCCAGAAGCCCTGAGTGACGGGTCACTTAAGGGTGGGGAGTGCTTCTGGCCTGGGTCACAGGGAGGCAAAGATGCAATTCCCTTGGATACAGACTACAAAGGCCCTGGGACCTCTCCAAATCATATCAGACAGTGTTTTGCCATTAAAAGACACCCAAAGTGAGAACACTCAGCTCTTCAGGATAAATGATCAAGCCCAAAGACCTCTTAAAAATAGGTAACACTGTTCATTAGGTGCTACTTGGCCCCGGCCACATTGCTGGACCGTAAGAGATACTGATCCATGCTTCCTTTTCGTCGACTCACAGTGCGCCTCTCATTGTCAAACATGCGCTGCAACTGCAGAGCCAGCTGGCGGTCCTCTTCCTCTTGCTGCAGTTTCTGCTCCCTCTCTCGCAGTACTGGGTCTGTTAGGGCCACTCCCACCTCGCCACTGCTTTGTCGCAGCTTCTTAAGGGAGCCATTTTGTTCCAAGTGCTTGGTCTTACAGTGCCTTTTTCGGCCCCGACGCAAGGAAGGAAGTGGTTCCTCACCTAGGCTGTCTGTCAGAATACCATTAGGCAGATCAAAACGACTCACTGACTTCAGCTGTTTCTTTGTTTTGAGGACCCCACCCAAAACACTGTTTTGGGGTAGCACTGAATTAACTGCCGAGATTTTCAGGGTTGTGCTTATACAGGTTTTGTCTAACTTGGCGTCTAGGGTTGACCCTGATCCTTCAAACTGCTCTCTCTCCAAAGAAGTTGCACTGGCTCCCACTCTGAATTCTGAAGAACAGCACGTTTCCAATGGGGTCTCAGGGCTCCTTCTACTATCACTGTCCCGTTCCGCTTTTGTCTGGCTAACAGAGGGGAAATAATCAGGGTCAGTGGGGGTGGGTCCAGTATACTCAGAGAGTACTTGACCAGTGGATAGTCTTGTATTTAAAGTCAGAGGTGGCTTCTCCTTGCTAGAATGAGTAACTTCAGAGACAACTAAATCTTCCCCTGTTTCTGGAGCCAGGGAGGTGAGGGTGGCTTTCGAAAGGGTCTTTTTGATCTGCCGCTCCTGAAATATCTGTTCCCACTTTTTGAGAATCCGTGGACTGGCTTCATAAGAAGTCTGCTTCTGCAGGCTTCTGTTTAGGTTGCGGGGTGTTGATTTGATGATGAGGGGACTTAGCACACGGCCATCAGGGAGTCTCTTGGGAGGAGTACATGGGGAGCAGACAATGGGCTTGAAATGGTTTAACTCTTCAGAGATGCTGTCATTGCTCTCAGGGCTGATGGAGCGCTCTGGCTTATGCAGCGAAGCCAAGGATGAGAGGGAGCTGAAGGGCAGACGCTTTTCAACGGTTAAGTCAGGGGCGGAGAGGCAGCGGTTGTTTCGAGTGGACAAGAGGACCCCAATGATGGGGTTAGATGCCGGGGTCAGAGCTGCGACCTGAAAGAGATGAAAAAGATTATTTATACGTACATATTTTTTCTTCATAATTTCTTCATGATGGTTGAGGCATAGGGAGGAGGAGGAGGGTAAGGAAAGGGATTAAGGATGATGTGAGCCTTGGGGAAATCCTTGGGGCAAAGAGAAAGAGTTCTCCACAGAGGACATTTAGTTCAAGCCTTTGTTTCCAAACTAGACCCTGCTTAAATGACACAAGATTAGTGGCCATTTTGCTCATGCCTGAGAGATGCAGAGATATTTCACCTTCCTTAATACAGTGTTAAATTCACAAATGGAGACAATCCCTAACCTAAAGTGCACATCATTTGTAGAAATCCCTACATACTTGAAATAATTAATAAAATTGCAAATCTATAGGAAAAAAAAACTCAATAACTTTTAAAAAGGTTTTTTATGGGCCCTCATTCTACCATGTGACTGCTATAATTCAAACGATCTTCCCTCATTTCTATTTGTAAAATTCTCCAACATCACTGGTATGCCTAGGGCCCATTCTGCCTCTCTGGCCTGGAAGAGCTTCTTTAATGGCCAAGTGCAGCAGGTGACGGACCAGGGCTAGATGGCCCCAGAAGCCCGCAGCTAAGGTATACCTTGGCTTTGCTGGCTGGAGCTGCTCTGAGTCTGCTCTTCCCTCTGTCCTGAGCAGTGTCACTGCAGCTTTGACTCCTTTCTACCTTGGAATTCAGGTTCCTAAAAATAAACAAACAAAAGACAAATAGTGAAAAGTATGCTGGCTAAGGAAAAGAATGAAAATCTTCCCTGTGCTTTCAAAGCTATCCACCAAGAAAGACAATTCCCTTGGCAGCTACAATAAGAAATGAGTTTATTTATTAACAAAACACATTCTAAGAACAAATCCTGTCAAAAGAGAAAGAGTTTTCCATGAAGACATTTGGTTTAAGCCTTTGTTTCCAAACTAGACCCTGCTTAAATGACATAAGACTGATGGCTGTTTAGCTCATGCCTGGGAGAAGATGTAGGGATACTTCACCTTCTTTAATAGGGTGGATACAGTATTAATCACCTTTCCAAACAAGAAATTTGTTCCTTTCATTAGGCCCAAACCTTTCCTCAAGCAATATAAGTCAGCCATGAAATAAAATATTCAAATACTTAGAAAAATGCATAGCAGCGCAATCAATAGATGTTTACATAGAAAACCAAAATTAAATGTAATCTCTCCTTTAATCCATTATATTTGAACTGACAAAGGCATAAATCCTGGTGATTTAAGAACACAATTTTTTCTTGTCTTATGCCTGCATTATAATATGACTTTACAACTAAAACCAAACCCACAATACCTGTATTATAACATTAATCTTACTGTGTAAGAATTATGTGCAGATGTCACCTACTCCATAGCCAGTAACTAGGGATACTTGATGATCTCATTACCTTTGTTTCCTACTCTCCAATTCTTGCCTAATAAATGTCTGGTGAGAATAATGCTTTTACAAATGTGTGCAGCTGATATTTTAACAGTGCTACAAGTTTACTCAACAAGCATTTATCACAAACTTACTATAAGCCAGTCACTGATAAGCCCTATTGGGCACTGGGAATACAGAGAAGGATGAGATACAGTCTAGCTCTTCAAGGAATCAGAGTCCAGTGAGGCAGACAAATAAATAATACAATGCAATACAGTGAAATGGTATGCTTATGAGACAGAATGGCATGAAAGAGGGAATTATAAATTACCTGGGATGGGGCGAGAACAGGGTTGGAAAAGCCTTCCTGTGGCTTATGTATTTTGAAGGATAAATAAGAATTTGCCAGAGAGTCAAAGTGGATACGTAGCCATGCAGGTGATTCCAAACAAAAAGTTATTTCTTTGAATGATTCCATTTAGCTTTGGAATAGAATACATATATATTCTTTTGTAGCAAGAGATTTACTTTTAAAGTTTTACTATGCCAGGATTATCTCAGAGAAAACCTGTAAAGGAAGTAAAAAGGTACATTCCCAAGCGTGCCTCTCCTCTCCCTACATCTCTAGCAAAGGCCTGTCCTACCTATGCACAATGGCTTCTATTCCAGCTTTTCTGTGTTAATTCCTCCCATTCAAAACCCTTTTCCTATGCCTCATAGCCACATCACCTTGCTAGATGGCTCCAATCTGATAAACTAATCTGTGCTTTGGTATTAATAGGAGAAAGCTGTGGCTGACCAGCATCACATGTCTGCACAAGAAAATTCAACACTGAACCTAAATAAATAATGGGAGATCTGTAGTGTCTAGTGGGAGATTTATTTTGGAATAGGCAGAAAACTTCAATATCACCCTATAATAAAGGCAGCTGCTTAAAAGGCAGCTTGGTTTATATTTTACCTATGATAGTAATAAATTCATTTGTATTCTCAGAACCCACACAAACTGTTAGTGATATAAGCTACCCAGAAGTAAACTGAAAGCAGATTAAAATGCAGGAGGAATGGAATTAGAGCTGAAAGAGACAGTATTTTGCTTCAAATATGTTTGGCATGATTCTACTGGAGAAACAAGTAGACACTTAGAAGAAAAGATTTTCTGATCAACATAAGAAAGAACTTTGTAACTTTCAACAATCAGAGCAGTTCACTGATAGCTATCTTGGGAGGTACTGAGCTCTACATCATAAGAGGTGTTCAGACTTAGGCTAGACTTATACTTTAAGTTCTAAACATTCTATAATAAGAAGCAACAATATAATTTTTTCTCAGTTAAATTTTAAATTTCAGGTAGAATTGCTTTTTTTTTCAGTAAAGTTATTTATTTATTTATTTTGGATATCAATAATATACACTTAGATGAACAACATTGCAGTTGCTATACTGCCTTCTCCATGCTCTCCCCACCCCCACATTATGTGTGCTAATCACAATGCCTCTTTTTCTCCTTATCCTTCCCTTCCCACCCATCCTCCCCAGTCCCTTTCCCTTTGGTAACCGTTAGTCCATTCTTGGGTTCTGTGAGTCTGCTGCTGTTTTGTTCCTTCAGTTTTCTCTTTGTTCTTATACTCCACAGATGAGTGAAATCATTTGATACTTGGCTTATTTCTCTACCTGGCTTATTTCACTAAGCATTATACCCTCTAGCTCCATCCATGTTGTTGCAAATGGTACGATTTGTTTTCTTATGTGTATATGTACCATTATGTGTATATGTATATGTTCCATTGTGTATATGTACCACCTCTTCTTTATCTACTGATGAACACTTAGGTTGCTTCCATTTCTTAGCTATTGTAAATAGTGCTGCGATAAACATAGGGGTGCATCTGTCTTTTTCAAACTGGGCTGCTGCATTCTTAGGGTAAATTCCTAGGAGTGGAATTCCCGTGTCAAATGGTATTTCTATTTTGAGTTTTTTGAGGAACCTCCATACTGCTTTCCACAAAGGTTGAACTAATTTACATTCCCACCAGCAGTGCAGGAGGGTTCCCCTTTCTCCACATCCTTGCCAATGTTTGTTGTTTGTCTTTTGGATGGTGGCCATCCTAAATGGTGTGAGGTGATATCTCATTCTGGTTTGAATTTGCATTTCTCTGATGATTAGCAATGTGGAGAATCTTTTCATGTGCCTGTTGGCCATCTGTATTTCTTCTTTGGAGAAGTGTCTGTTCAGCTCCTCTGCCCATTTTTTAACTGAGTTATTTGCTTTTTGTTTGTTGAGGTGCATGAGCTCTTTGTATATTTTGGATGTCAACCCCTTATCAGATACGTCATTTATGAATATATTCTCCCATACTGTAGGATGCCTTTTTGTTCTACTGATGGTGTCCTTTGCTGTACAGAAGCTTTTTAGTTTGATATAGTTGCACTTTTTCATATTTGCTTTTATTTCCCTTGTCCAGGGAGATATGTTCATGAGAAGTTGCTCATGTTTATATTCAAGAGAGTTTTGCCTATCTTTTCTTCTAAGAGTTTTATGGTTTTATGACTTACATTCAGGTCTTTGTTCCACTCCGAGTTTACTTTTATGAATGGAGTTAGACAGCAATCCAGTTTCATTCTCTTACATATAGCTGTCCAGTTTTGCCAACACCAGCTATTAAAGACGCTGTCATTTCCCCATTGTATATCCATGGCTACTTTATCATATATTAATTGACCATATATGCTTGTGTTAATATCTGGACTCTCTATTCTGTTCCACTGGTCTATAGGTCTGTTCCTGTGCCAGTACCAAACTGTCTTGATTACTGTGGCTTTGTAGTAGAGCTTGAAGTTGGAAACAAGATCCCCCCTGCTTTATTCTTCCTTCTCAGGATTGCTTTGGCTATTTGGGGTCTTTTGTGGTTCCATATGAATTTAGAACTATTTGTTCCAGTTCATTGAAGAATGCTGTCAGTATTTTGATAGGGATTGCATTGAAACAATATAATTTTAAAAAACAGGATATGAATCCATTTTGTTAGAAGTAGCAGAGTCAAACTTGAAGATACTGTCTACATGCCCAAGTTATGATATATACAAATGACAACTACTACTGCTGGGGGGAATCTCTTCTCAAGTCCCCTGAACTCTGTTTTGGTGGAAGAGAATGCCCAGAGAGGAAACTCACACTTACAGCACTCAAGTACACAACAAGGACACACATAATAGTTTGTGAACATTTAAAATCCTTTTGGAAAACCACAGTATGGCTGAAACTGTCACTGTCTCTTTCATTCACGTGGTCAACAGACTTTACTGAGCACCAACTCTGTGCAAAGCACTAGAGTCAGACTGATGTAAAGATAATCTTGGCCCAACATCGAGTCTTTGAAGTCCATCACATAATAGCACAAAAGTGCCATAAGGGACCAGTAATTATACAGCTAAACTCTCGAAGTGTTTCTCAGTGTTTTAATTATAGTTTTAGCTTTTAACATTTATGTATCTGATCCAATTTAACTTAGTATTTTGTATATGGTGTGAGGTTGAGGTCCAACTTCATTCTTTGGCAGGTGGATATACAGTTTCCAGCGTCATATGAAGAGACTACTCTTTTTCCCCACCAAATGATCTTAGCAGCCTTCTACTGAAAACCAACTTGACCATAGTTATATGGGATTATTTCTAGACTCTCAATTCTATGCCATGCCATGGGATGCTATACTACCCTTATTTCAGTAGCGCACTCTTTCGATTGCTGTAGATTTACAGTACATTTTAAAATCAGTAACTCCTCTACCTCTGTCCTCTTTCAAGATTGATTTGGCTATTTGGGATCCTTTGCAATTCCATATGTGTATTAGCTTGTTCATTTCTGCAAAAAAGGAGACTGGAATTTTAATAGGTATTACAATTAACCTGCAAAACAAGTGGGGAGAGTACTGTCATCTTAACAATGGTAAGTATTCTAATCCATGATCCAGAAGGTCTTTCCCTTTATTCAGGTCTTCTTTAATTTCTTTCAATGAGGTACTGTAGCTTTCAATGTACAAGTTCTACACTTCACTGATTCAATTTATTCATAATTATTCTGTTCTTTTTTATGCTTTGAGTTATAATTTAAAATTTAAAGTGTAAATGGAACTGCTTTCCTGATTGCATTTTCAGATTGTTCACTGCCAGGGTATAGAAATGCAACTCATTTTTGTGTGATGACCTTGTATCCTGCAATTTTGCTGAACCTGTTTATTAGCTCTAATATTTTTTCATGAACTCTTTGGGATTTCCTATGAATGATATGTCATCTGTGGGTAGTGAGAGTTTTACTTC